CAGACAGAACACTAAATAAAACGCCTTATCGATATGTTGTACCCACTAGGAAACCAATGAACCCGATAACCGGGCGGGATTTCAGGTTCTCACGGTGACTAGTGTAATGAGACCTGTCTTTTAGAATGTTATACCGTGTAGCTCCAATGATAGAGGGCGAAGGACCTCTGAACTTCCATCAGATTACGCGGCGCAACATCCTAGAAGACAGTCATCTTCACACTTGTCGCCGTGAGAACCTGAAATCTCGCCCACCGTCTGGTGATCCACAGGTTCAACGCCTTTGCAACAGACGTTCGCTCTTTTATCCGTCCTGAGCCTTAAAAAGCCGTCAAAATCAAAGGCCACTCAGCCCAGCTTTCACGGCACAGGGTGGCAGGTGACGACAGACAGCTGCGTCGCTGGGGTGCAAACTTTGAGGGATGTATCATTTATATTCTTCCGCTTCGGTGAACTACTTGCTCCTTGTTCGAAATTCACACTTTGCGCCACTAGCAGTCAGATCATTAATTTAAAATAAAAATGACAGATGAATTAATTTTTTTTATTACCACAAAGCCTAATTCAGAAACAATTTGTTTTTTATGCAAAATACGTATTCCTCGAACATAATACATCCGCAGCTTTTCATAAGAGCTGTTAATTCTTTCGTACTGAAATGAAATTTCCGTTCGCAGTTCAGCCAACACAACGACGCAGAAACTTCGTACGGCTCGTCAATAAACTCTGCATTTTTATAGAACCTGTTCTCTATCCTGAGAAACACGAATCCAACCCAAACCCTCCCACTCTATTTCCTTAACATCCAGTTTAATATTATCCGATTATCTTCGCGTAAGTCTTCCGAGCGATCTCCTCCCATCAGGATTTCCGATCAAAATTTTGTAGGCACTTCATCATACGTACTACATGCCCGCCCATCTCAAATTCATTTATTTGGTTATTCTAATAATTTGGTGAATATTACACATTATGGAGTTCCTTATAATGCAGTTTTCTCCGGTCCCCTGTCACTTCATCCCTCTTGGAATCATTATTTTTGTCAGTAGTCAGACACCGTCAGTCTTTGTCCTTACTTCTGTATGAGACACGAAAATATACGTAGTTTTCTCTGTTCTTACTTCTAGACAAACTTCCTTACTGTCAGCGCAAACTAGAAACTGACAAATCATGTCTACAGGCCCAATGAAATTATATACTATCGCATTGTACCTCACGTTGTTACTTCATATTCTACAAAAAATTTACCCTAACAAAAGTTGTACATTTTTTCGAAGATGTATTACCGTTCATCATTTAATATTTCTTCGTGACACTGATGTCGATTTCACATCAAAATTTCGTTTCGCTCGATTTTACATTCATCAAGAGTGGGAATTAAAAAGAAGCTACTGAGGTGGATAAACTCTAGTGTCATGATACTCATACAAAATTTCATGAAAATTCGTCATCTCGTCCAAACATTGTTAAGGCATCGTGAAAGCAAACTTTCTATTATCACAAGCGTATCTTTTACTATAAGAATTAAACCAGGCTAAAAACAAGAAAAGGCCGGTCGTAAGTTGTGGACAGTCCAGTGACTGACTATGTACGAGCTGGATGGCCGCGGTTCATTCCCTGGTAGGGCAGAATTCTCTCTCTTCGTCCCCCACCGCCATCATACCGACAATGGAGATCACCATGGCTCCTAAAAATGGTCTCCGGAGCCTAATCTCACTGGGTTAAGTGGCCGGAGCGCCATGGCTCGTAAAAATCGTCTCCGGAGCATAATCTCACTGGGTTAAGTGGCCGGAGCGTGTCTGACGTCAGTCTAGTGCGGTGGTTAATCATAGGGGCTGTCCCCTCCACTCCCCTGCAGCCAGAATGATGACAATGATAACGCAGGCGTTGGAATTGCTCAGATTTCACGAGGGGTCGCGGGGTTCATCCCGGGAACACGGAGGAAAGCGACAGCAGCTTTTTCGCTGTGAAGTCGACGTTCCTTTGCCTTCCACACATGTGGAAATTTTTGCGCATCGCAAAGTAGATACTAATTTGTGACGTTTAGATGCTCGCTCCTTTGTGGACGGCAGTGAAACATCGCACGGCCTGGGATTCCCAGGGTCCACTGGAGCCACACTGTCACATTCGACAGAACTCGAAGGCTCAACACCGCGAATACAAAATATAAAACATTCCGCCACAGTTCCGTCCACTTTCCGTCTGTTTCTCCAGCATCCGTCTTGATGTTATCCATCTGTTTCCTTCTTCATCTCCGAAGTACGTGCTCCAGTGACCGCCCCGATAACAATAGACAGCCTAAGCCGTTCTTAATGTTGCACCCGGTCGGACCATCGCACGATCCGTTGTTGTCCAGCAGCCAACAAATACTGGCACTTACTAATCGTTACGAAGCGAAAATCGGTCGGAGCCTGAAGCTGACTGCTGCATTCGCCGTGGTGTGAAAACGCGTGCTTCTTCGCGAGGCTCAGCTACTGATCCGGCCGCATCAGGACAAATTCGGACACCGACTAATTTACAATCAGTAGCAACTGTTACAGCCCTAATAATTTATTTATAAGGGAGAGTATCCCTATTTCTAAGCAAAGAGCCGTCCCTAGAGGGATACAGGAACCCGGGGCGAAGCAGTCTATTCGGGACCCTCTTTGAATTTGTACAAAGCCGATATTCTTCAAGTTTAATATTACCAGCGCCTTGCTGTAGTCATATTAATCAGTGTATTCTTATCTCTCTTTTGGGATTACAATAAAATAATATTATTACAGTATGCTACATGTTACATTTTTACGTGTAGGGCACTTTAAGTATTTCATACGTCGTTAATATCGAAGCCCAGTTCGCCTCACCCTAAGGACGGCCATGACTAAGCATCAAGTCACTAAGATGTAGTCAGGGCGTGGAGGTTAAGTTCCAAACATTGAGCTCAATTAATTCCTACAGTTTCAGTGGCCTGGCAGCGCACTACAATGTTCCTTCCCGAACTCCTACAAGAATCACCCGAGGTGACTGGCCAATATGACGTGGAAGGCTAGCGCTCATCCCAGAGTTCTGTCTATTTAATGACGCTGTATCAGCTTCCTCTTTTTCCCAAACGAACTGCGTCTGAATCGAACAGATAAAAGGGGAAAGTTGGAAGGAGACACAAAATTGCCGGACGCTGTGGGACTTTGACCGGGATACGGAATTCTATTACCGGTACTACCAACATTACGAACAGTAGAAAGAAGCTTGCAGCAAACTCCGATAAGAAGAAAAAGACAGTGCAGTTTATCTGGAGCGAGGGCCGCGTCCCAAACCTCGACCTGATAAAGCTACGGAACATTTTAGGATTCCGAAGGTTAAATACAAGTTGAAACTTAATATCGATTTTTGTTGTCACAAGCCAGAATAATTCAGTTTAAAAATACTTCTGTTATTCGGATGAGCTTCTGCTTCAAAGGGTCAAAAGCAACTTCCGATCTACATTTAAACCGCCCACGAGCTGTCTTCCTTTTAAATTTTCCATACTTTTGTTGTTTCTTTCGTATTCTACATGTCCCGTCAATCTTAACCTTCGAACTTAGAATGACCTACTAGTATTGAGTCCAGATAGTAAGGCGATTAAATGTGTGTTTTTCTCCATTTATCTCATGCCCTTTATATTTGATCGCTATTACCATTGACAGCTTCAATTCAAGTTAAATTTTTACAGTGCCGATAACAAGTTTCACCTTCCTTTAAGAGAGAGACTGGAGGTTTCAACACCGCTGCTACCAAAGCTCCAGAGTCTATTTCACCCACTTCCCGCCTCAAAGCCCCCTGTCATCCAATCATCCATCTTAATGTTATCCTCCGATCCCTCTCTGTCTATGAAGTGGCCGCTTTCGCAGGACGCATCTTGGGACGCGACGCGACGCGGCAAATCAAATCTCTGGGAAGAGCTCGCCAGAAAGCTTTTCCCATTTTCCTATCTTCTTTCCGCGCTTGAGTAGCGACTCAAATGGAACGCGAGTCCTCCCGGGACAGCGGCGTCACCTGCCTCCTCTCCGATCCCTTCTCGTGTCGCCCGCCCGCCTGCC